AAAATCATGTAGATAGCCATGTAATATTATGTAATAAAATAGGGTAATCGCGTAATTTCTCGTAGTCTTTACTTAAATGAATTAATCTGTCATAGGGAACCCGAAAGGGGCGTTGTGGGGTGCTAACACCTTCCCCACACGTAACTAACTCCCTTACCTAACTCTGGTTATAATGGCCAAGTCTGGTTTTTATTAAAATCAATGTATTTTCATCCTTTTCCAATGTTTATGGTCAAAATATTGGTGGCGACTCCATAAGAACCCCTTTTCGAAAACCTTGCTTTTTCAATGTTGAAGCAATGAACATATTTTAAAACAAATACGCGAGTCTAAACCATCTTTTCGCGACCGCTCGCATAAACGTTCGAGACGTCCCCCGGACGTCGAAAGGGACGGCGGCGACAATACCACCTTGAATATTTTTGCTCACACTATTTTGACCCTCATTGGTGTTGTTTGATACCACATTAGAACTTGGTATATAACTCTATGTGCTTTAACTTGTTATGACTATCTTACTACTCCTTAATCTCATACATTGTTAGTCTATAAAAGATCTAAACTTGTCCCACTGAGCATGCCAATTTGTTTATAGTATAAATGATTCGTTTTTTAATAAAATAAATCTATAATTCAAGTACATAATGAATCATTTAAACATCATGTGGATTCTTTTAACTTTTCCTTGCAAACACAACTTCTTAGGCTTATATGCAATCAACACCAATCATTTAATAATTAAAGTATTTCAATTAAAGACCGTTCATATATAATTTGGATTTTAAATATCATTTGAGACATTTAAAGTAACTGGCAAAAAAAAAAATAAAAGCACAGTTAAAGTAAATTACTGGAAAGTAAATGTGCAACAAAAGATAAATGTGCACACAAAGTAAATTGTATAAAAATAAATACAACTCATTACCATGGATAAAACATGATTCGATAAAAGAAATTAACGAACATGGTGATCTAAATTGCGAAGAACTTCATTGAAAAATGTTTGTCCCTTGCTCATAACAGTTTTTTCAATATTAAGTTTCTTCGTATAATTTGACAAGCACCTCCTTTCACATTTGTTTCGCCCTATTTATATTTTTATGTAAAACTCGCTAAAATAAAAATAAAAATAAAATGAACATAAAAATAAAATGAAGTCAAAAAATAAAATACACGAATTTGTGAATAAAAATTCACAATTGATTACTTTATTATAATTGTTCTTCTTCTCCTCGACCCACTTTGTTGCCATGTATCATCCATAAGTGTGCATGTCATGTAATTAGACAATAATTATCTCCACATATCTCTCGATTGTATAACTTCCTCACAATATCTTTTCCTTGTCGATTTGCACCTTTAGATTCGATGTCTTCAACTCTTCAAATTTTTTTATGTTTGACTTATCACACTATATCAGTTTATTTCTCCATTTTGTTTCTCAACATTTTTTTCAATGACAGGTTCCTTCTAATATCTCCCAAAGATTCACAACTTGTACCTTCAACTTTATTTATACATTCTAACTTGTCACGTTAAGTTTATCTTTTATTTTTGATTTATTTTTGTCAGTATAACACTACAAGAAAATTACGTATTACCGACGGATTTTTACCGACGGATTTGTAGTCGTCGGAAAATAATCATTACCAAACTAAAATTACCGACAGATATAAAATATTTGTGGAATTTGATGTTACCGACGGATATATCCATCGGTAAAATAATAATTAATTATCGATCGGATATATCCGTCAATAAATTTGTCTGGTAATTTATAGATGAATTTACCGACGGATATATCCGTCAAGAAATTCGTCGATAAATTAACAATTAATTACTGGACGGATATATCCGTTGGTAAATTCATCTGTAGAATTAACAATTATTTACCATTTCTACTGGTAAATTAACAATTAGTTATCAACTGATATATCCGATCTGTAAAATTATATAATAATTACTTAATATAATTTAATTATTCACCTAATTAAAAAATAAAATGTTTTTTATGTAATAATTTAATTTAATCATAATTAGATTAATTTATAATAATTTATTAAATTAAATAATTTTAAAAAATAAATATGTAGTTATATATAAATATATAAAAATATAAAAATATATTTGTATATAAATATAATTTATTTGTAAATTGTTATAAAAAAATTCTAGTTGCTTAATGGTTGAAGTATCGACCTCTAATTCTAAGGTACTGGATTCGAATAAATAATTAATAATAAATAATAAGAATATAATGGGAGGGGGTTCTATAAAAAAATATGTTATAAATAAGTAAAATATTTAATAAATAATAAAATTATTACCGACAGATTCCTGTCACGTCAGTAATATTTACCGACAATCGAATTTTTGACCGTCAAAATTTCGTCGGTAAATATTACAGACAGATTTTGACCGTCAATAATTTTAATATTTCTTGTAGTGTAAATCCTTAACTTCCGATAATTTCAATTATTAATACAATCTTTTAACACATTTCCCATCTCTCAATTCATTATCTTCTATATATTTGTAATTTTACCAATAATAGTATTATAAATTAATTTAATAAGGATTCATTTATTCTAAGAATAAATATTATAATAAATATCTAATAATCACTTCTTCCAATATTTAATAATTAAGATTAATTACTATTTTAAATTAATAAATTACTAAAAATAAATAATAATAATAATAAATAGTAAGTTTTTAATTCTTATTTTGAGATAAAATAGATGTATTTTATTATAATTTATATATTAAATTATTATATTTTAAATAAAAATTAATTTTATTAATAAAATTTAAATTTACAAAATATGTATGTATTTTAAATTTTTATTTAAATATTTTTTTAAATTAGTATAAATATGTCAATATTTAAAAAAAATTAATCAGCTGACGCATTTTAAAATCTAAATATAAGTTAGATTGGGTTTGGTCGTTTGTTTTACAGCTTACTTATCATTTATTTTTATTTTTTCTTATTTTAATGACTAATATGAAATATTATGATGGATTATTAAATTTTAATAACTAGTTTCAAATAAAAGTGATTTTATTAGAAATAATTAAATCCTTCCTATCTTTTTATCACTGTTTGCATGAGAAAACAAGAAAGGTTTTCACTTGTCATGTACTAAAAGTATACATCATATGTATAAATGAAATATTGGTTTTATATAATTTGCTGGAATTAACGTATAATGTATTTTATACTGATTGAAGTCATTATTGTATAAAGAGTTTTTATGTAAAAGGCCAAAATACAACTAATCTAATTTTATCAGTGAAAGATTAGTAAAGTATAAAAAAAAATAGTAATTTTAAGCGTTTATGATGTTATAGTCATTATTTAATTAGGCAAAGAAAGTAGTTTTTCTGCCTTTTCTTTTAGTATTGGTGTTTCGATTTCATTTTCTGTCACCACTTCATAATATTTTATACATGAGAAAAGTCTTAATTCAAATTTTATGTTTTAAATTTCAATTGTGTTTATTAAATTTCTCAACTTCTATTCCATTAAATAGATCTTCTAATCAAATCTTTTATTAAAAAAAAAAAAAGCAAAATTTGGTGACGTGACATGTAATAGACAACAATAAAGTAATAGATTTTTGTTAATAATGCACTAATCAAGGGTAAAAAGGTCAATGTGTTTATTTGACACATGCATAGAAATTATGTTATATCTAACTTGGATGAGTGGGAGACAAATTCCACCCACCCACACCCATTACTTTTTCAACACTAAAACCATTAGTATACATGGATGGAATTTATGTTATATCTAACTGAAATTAGTGGGTGTCAAAAAAACCATACAACCACCTACTCTATATTCTATCAATATTTGTTGTATGATTGTAAAAATATATTATTTTAACTGTTAATTATATATAATAATCAATTGTATTAGAATTAATATTTTGTTTTGATAATTTTATTGAAAAATGATTTTAGAATAGTTCATTTCATTTGAAACAAGTAAAATCAATTTTTACATAAAAAATACGTTTAAAGTTGAAAGAAAAAAAATGTCTACTTTTCCCTCAAAAATTTTATTTACAAATTTATGCTATTATATCACAAACATACAGTTGAAATTATAAACAACTTTTTTTATTCAAAAACACTTAAAATAAGAAAAATAATTATATACGTTTGTTTAATAGTTACATAAAAATCATCTTAACATAAAAATAATTATACTATGTAAATAATATAATATATTGTAAAACCAACCAAACAAAAGATAAGATGTTCTTTATATCTTAATTATATAATTTTATTTCCTTAGAAGTAATTACAAAATATATCAAAATTAACATTTTTAATATTATTTTTCATATTAACACATATAATTGAATCTTATTTCACTACTTTGTGACGTTTAACCAGAGAGATGTTATAAACAGTTGGACATGACATCTTAATAGAAGACCAAGAAATTTAAATGGAAAGAAGGTAGGGAAAGTGGGATGCACAACATTTGAAAGATGTTTTATATGTGTATTATAATGATTTATGTTGGTTATACTATAATTGAAATTTATAAAACGAAAACTTGTAATGTTTTTTTTATTCATTGTAATTTGTTTGACCCCATTTAAACTAGTTAGTTAGCGACATTCAATTAGGGCTAATAAATCAAACTGAAAAAGAATAAAAAACTACCACCTTTAATATGACCGGATCCCTCCAACCAAATTAGAGATAAGCTTTTAGCAGAACCGAAAAGAAGGAACACAAGCCACAAGTTTCTCGTGAGGGGAGTGTCTGTAGAATGCGAAGGAGCATCATCAGCACCGACCATCTGTAATCATCCCTTTTTCTTGGTAACCATAACCGACAACAGTGATGAGAAAGCAAAAACTAAAATAAAATGGTAAAGTTATAGTAAGGTAGATATAGATGTAATCCTCCCACTATTTTCAGTATTCACTGCACCGTAAAATAAAATAATATAAAATAAAAATAGAAAAAGGGAAACCCTAACAGAAATGGTCGTCATGACGAGAGAGATTCGTCCTGGGAGGAATCTCGAAATGCCAGAGTCTGCCGACACCTTTCACCAACTGCTTCCGGCAGAGAAACTCCTCCGCGTAAGCCTTCTCAACCTTCCGATCCACATCGTGCAGGAACACGTGCGTCACGCCGGAGCTCTTCCTGTCCCTCGCCATCACCGCCGCTGAGAAGATCGCCGCCATGCGCCCCGGCGCCTCTGCGAAGTACCCCTTAGGCGCGTCGATCATGATCAGGTCCCACTCCGTCGAGTACACCTCGTTCGGGAGGTTGTGGAGCGCCAGCTTGCAGCGGTCGTTGCCGCGCAGCGTGGCGGTGGCCGGCGAGCAGGCGGGCTCGGAGCGGTAGGACGAGAGGAGCTGGTCGGCTTCGCGGAGCTGGGTCCGGTATTGGACGGTGTGCGCCCGGAGGTTTGGCGCGTCCTTGAGGACGGTCTGGACCCACTTAGGATCCTCCTCGAGGAAGATCGTGGTGCCGCCTGCGTTGAGGCTGGCCCACATGAGGGAGTCGTGGCCAAGCCCAAACACGAGGAAGTTAGCGGGCCGATGAAGGGCCTGGAGCACGTCGAACGTGACGCTGATCTCCGAAAGAGACTGCTGCGGAACGATCTGCGAGGTAGCGTAGTGAAGTATCGCTCTCAGCTGCAACGATGTGGGACTTCGGCCAAACTGCGATTTGGTTATGGAGCATAGAAGATTGTTCTCCGAGGTTTGGATCAAACTGGCGATAAAGAGCGTGGCTCCGATTATGCCCAATGTCGTCAATAGCCACACGGACCATCGGTTCTTCATCCTCTCACTCGCTTGCATTGAATAATGCCCCTTGGTTTATGTGTAAGAGGTTCGCAAATGGTTTTGTTATTGGTGGAATTGTGAGTGGGTTTTAAAGTCAAGATATGCGGTGGTTGTTGGAGAGGAGAAATGTGAGGGTAAGACGGTGCAAATAAATGGCATTCATTAGCATTATATTATTTCTAAGATTAAGAGAAAGGGAAATTAATTAAGATTTGGACCATTCGAAATTAGGCAAATGCGCTGCACGTGTCTTCGTGTTTTGTTCGGATTGGGTCAGACCCTTAAAGTTTTGAAATTTAAAATCTGGTGTCTCTCAAACTTTTCTTTTCTATTACTTTGGTTACTATCTCAGATCCTAGCCATTGAAAATAAATTGAATAATTAAATACATTAAGAAAATTTAAATCAAAGTATTTTCCACCATTCGATGCTAACTGTAGGATAGTACAGTTGAAAAGCAGGGGCAGGGAATACGGTCATGTCGCTATGGTTGCAGCTCCACGTGTTGCTACAGTAATCATGACTAAGTCCCTATTTTTAATATTTTTTTTAAGAATTTCATGCCAAGTAAATGAGTATGAATTAAAATGTTTTGTTTTACGTGATCTGATATATATATATATATATATATATATATATATATATATATATATATTTTTATTTTTTTTTTTTTAATATTCAACCGTTGTGTTCAACCATTTTCTGTCGTGGCCTGTGGTTCTTTGACACTTGTTAGAGGAGACCCTGTTGTCCTGGTAACCTTTTGGGCTCTTCTAACTAAATCATTTCTTCCTTGCGCGGGTGAATGTTCTCGTATTCGCCAATCAATCTCAAAGGAGAAGAAAGGCATACTATTTACTTTCTTGTTTGTCTGAAGAAACGAGACTCAATCTACCTAAAGATATTACTTCATTTTCGCCCTTTTTGAGACCAGTTGGGTGAATGGGCCTCTTTATTTGATTAGGAATACTATTTTCTCTGCCCTTTTCAGATTCCTTTTCCTTTTACAGTTGGTCACGTTTCTTTGGAATGGAGTTCGCCACTCCAAAAATATACATTGAAAACTGAGTTTATAACATACAGAAAACTGTTTTTAATAATATAATATACTATTTTATAATTATTATATTATTAATAACACTTATTACTGGAACGAATGTTCCATGATTATAGATTAAATAAAATAAAAATTAATGGTTTAAATTGTTTATATTTTAAAATAAATTGTATTTTTTTAATTTTATTTATATTTTAAAATAAATTATAATTTTTTTAATATGATGTATGTTAACTCAATAAATCTATTTTAACTTGATTGAAAATTAAAAAAATTATAATATATTTATAAAAATAATTAATATAAAAAACAAAATAATAAAAAAATATTTTTAAAACATAAATTATATTAATTAATTAATTTTTATATTAAATATAATGATTTATTTGTTTTTAAAATATATTTTTTTAAGAAAAAAATAACACCAACCCTGATATCATAATATATAGTCTTGTATAACCCATATACCGAAAGTTCATGATAAATGAAATAAAAGTGTTTTTAACTAAAACATAAATAACATCAGTAAATAAATAACTTGATCAAGATTATGAATAATTCAAGTAATCATATTTGATCACAAATAAGTATTTCATACACACGGAATAAGTCACATTTATTCTTGAAAAGAGACAAGTCTGTTCATGAAGACACTCTAACGTTTAAATCAATAATAAATAATGTTTAATGTTATAATTTATTTTAATTTATCAATAATTGATTAATACATTATTCTAATATTAATATTTATTTAAGATGTATTAATTTGGGTGAATATTTTAATTATGAAATCTACATAAATTAAAAAATAATAATCTAAGAGACTCAACAAAAACCCACGGATTTTAGATGAACTTAAAATCAAAACAATAACTTTATTTCTAAAAGCCACAACCACTAATTTAAAGTTTTACTCCAACTACACGTTCCTTTACTAGAGGCTTGACGACTATCATAACAATAATTAATTCAATACAAAAAATAATAATTTTATTTTTTAGTAATTTAATCGTTTAAATATAATAATTTTTTATACGAGGAAAAGTCTTCTCAACAAGAAGGTATGATAAAAAAACCCGTGAAGATGAGATGTAATGAAATTTTATTAGAAATATGATAATAATATAATATATAGATGAGTACAATATTCATCATATTATAATGTAAAATAATATTATAGTTAATTTTAATTATGTTAGAACATAAAAATATCTCTCGATATTAGAGGATATGATGAAAAATCACCCTCAAGGTGAGGAGTGATGAAATCTCATTAAAGATATAATAACATTATAGTATAAAAATGAGTGCAATCTTTATTATATTATAATATAGTATTATATAAAAGTTAACTCTAGCCATATGAGGACAACAAAATTTGTGAAGATGAGGGGTATGATGAATAATTCCTATGGAGGTGAAGGGGTGTGATGAGAAAAATCTTCCTCAAGATGAGGAGGTACGATGATAAATCTTCTTCGAGATTAAGTGTAATAAAATTTTATATCAACTAAATATACAATAACATTAAAATATATAAATGAATACAATTTTTACTAGAATCAGATTTATAAGATTAAATTAAATATATCATCATTTTTAATATCATAATCATTATATCTTAACAAATAATGAATGTTAGAAACTTATATTTTCTCTTAAAATAAGTTGATACATATTATATTAACTTATAATATATATATTTTTAATAAAATAATATCAATTTTATTTATAAAATTATTATTATTATTTTATAAAATAAATTAATCTCATGTAAGTCTATTTATATCAAAGACTAAATAAAACAAAAATTAAAATGAACTAAACACGAATATTTTTACTTATATAATCCGTATGAATTTTGATAATTGATTTTAGAATTCACATTATATATTATTAATAAATAATAAATAAATATAAAAATATAAAAAATTAAAAAAAATAAAAGAATAAAATTATATATTATTAATAAATAATAAATAAATATAAAAATATAAAAGATTAAAAAAATAAAAAAATAAAAAAATAAAAATTATAAATATATTAAACAAATATATTTAATAATTAAATTTGAGTAAGTAAATATCACATTAAGTAACAAAATATTGAGGGTGACGAGGCTAAGCTCCCTAGAAGATATAACTTATTTCTCGTTTTTTTTTCTTAATAGATTGATGGTAGTGTACATATTTCTACACTCCCATTGTTCGTGTAAATGAGTGCCATTGCATTCAAATGTAATGATATAAATTTTGATTATAGAAGAAAATTTTAGGATTATTTTCTAAAACTGAAACACATGAGAAATTAATAAATTATTTTGCACAAGATTCTGCCAGATAATATTTGGACGATATTTGAGAGATACGTATAGAATAAAGGCCTGGATCAACATATTTGATATACAAGCTGGATATTGAGTTCAGATGAGCTTAGGTTGGCAAGAGATTAGAAGAGACATAATTCTTCATTTTTTAATATTGTAATAAAAAAAAGATTGAAGATATAATATTACTCTAAAAAATGGAGTAAGTATATTGAAATGGTTTTAAATATCGGGATATGGATAACCGTATATATATATATATATATGACGTAGTTTTTATATTTTTACTGTACATGCACTAAGAGAATATTGTACTGACCAGATACGGGATTTAAGGGATCAAAGGCCACCGTCCTAATTTTATTTTTTTATATATAATAATTAATTTTAAAATTAAATAAAAATTATTTTTTAAATATAAATAAAATAAAAAAAAATTATTTTTCCTGGATTCTATAATTCTTGCATAAATTAGTTCTTATTATTGGATTTCAGTCAAGATTGTTTCAGTTCCTAATTGTTCTGCATCTATTGGACTGAGAAATAACTAAGGAACTGATTCATTATAATTTTGATTTGATATTTTAGTTTGAATTTAAGTTTTAATTTTAAATTTAATTTCGATTCACTATTTTTTGTTTATGCAACTTCAATTTCCTTCAATCTTTGATTTTGTTTTCTGGTTTCCATTTTTTATTTTCAATCCCTACTTTGTATTAGTTCACTGTTTCTCGATTTCCATTTCGATTGATATGTTTGTTGTTTGAGATATTCAATTCGTTTTTGTTTTCTTTGTTTGTTTCTGATTTTAGCTTTCAATTTCAATTCTCAGTTGAGATTTTATTCTAGTTATCGCTTTGTAAAATGAATTCCAATATCTTGTTTGATTTCAATTCAAGTTCTAGTTATTCATTCTCGGTTTCCAATTCTCATCTAACTCTCCAACTGTTGCTCGGTTCATTGTTTTCTATTTTTTTATTGTTAATTGTAGTTTCTATTTCTTTCACTTCAATTTTGATTTTTGTTTTCAGTTTTTTCAATTTCAATTTCCAATTTTGAATTCAAGTCCAATTTAGTTCTTTTGTTTCATTCTCTTAAAACAAAATTTTCCCTAAAATTAACTTTTAATCAAGGAAGAATGATTTGACAATGGAATGTTTGGGTTTGTGTCCTTAGATTATTCCCTATACTGCATTAAGAGACCAAAGTTTTGTTCAAGTTCATTGTGGCGTGAGCTGGTTTGAGGCTCGTAGTGTCAAGTACCACCAATGACTCCTCCCGTATAGTCATGTGTGACTAGCACCACATGCCACCAAAGTCTCTTTCGTAGTATTGCATGATGGGCATCACGTGACGTTAAAGCCTCCTAGGTCATTGCTAATAACTCTTCCTCCCTCATTGCTACTATAACATCACCAATTTGACAATCCTCCATTACTAGGAAGAACCCATTTGTAGAAAATTACAAAATTTGTTTCTGATTTTGTAAAAGAAGAAATGTAACAACAATGAATTGTTTGCACCTCCTTTAGTAATATATAATATTGGTTTTATCAATAACTGATGTTATATATTTATTACTTTGTACATTGATTTCTAAACTAATATAGAATGCCTAAATTAATAGATGCT